GGTGGCCCGGGAGCGCCAGGAACTCACAGGACGCAGGTGCGCGGCTGTTGGAGCCGGCCGAGGGACTGGAGCAGCCTGCGGGGGTCCTCGCCCTGCCAGGGCAAGCCCTTGATGCTCTCGATCATCTGCTGATGTAGGTCGCTGAGGCGGAGGGGCCGCGACAGAGAGGACAGTTAGAGCCAGGGCCACACCTCGGGGGCCTGGGCCACGTGCCCCGGAGGGAGGGCCTCTCGGGGCCGGGGCGGAGCGTCCCAGTCTGGAGACCACTGTGGTCCTTAGGAGTTGGGGCCTGCTGGCCGCCCAGCACTCCACAAGGCCCAGCGCGTCCCCATGGAGCCCATGCTGGAGGGATTGGCGTAGCTCCCAGGCCAAGGAAGCACAGCGCTTCCTGCCAGCAGCAGCGGCCTCTGTGGCGCAGCTGGGCACAGAACCCGAACACAAGGCCAGGGCTCCCGCGGGGCCTTACCCTGTGGCCCTAGATGCATGCTTTGGCTCGGGTAAGTGGCCCAGGGGCCCAATGCTGGGCTGGCTCCCGGCCCCACACCTCACCTCTGGGCAGGCGCAGGGCACAGGGACACGGGGTCTCCTCTGCCCTGCTCCTGGGCTGCTAGCTCGCCCTGCCTGCCTGCTGGAGTCCCTCTCTTCCTCCCTCCCCACTACATTCCCAAGCAATCCTCCTCCCTCAGCCCCCGAGCAGTGGCCCACAGCGCCCCTCGCTGGGAACCCCTTCTCAGGACCGCCTATCTGGCTCCAAACTGCCTCGAGCCCTGCTCAGCTCTGCCCATGTGGCCTCTGAAGCCACGAGCTACGTACTGGCCCTTTTTTATGTTTTTGTTTAAATTTTGAAAAAGGGCTTAACTAAGTGTCTAAGCTGCCCAGACTGGCCCAGAACCTTTGATCCTTCTGCCTCAGCCTCCCAGAGTGCTGGCGTAGTGCTCTGCACAGTGTTGGGGACCACAGGCCTGTGATACATCATGCCCAGCAGGGAGTCCAATGGCCTCTGACCCTAGGACATCGCCAGCAGCTTCCTGTGGGTCCCAGGCTCTTCCACCCCCGACTGCCCCTGCTCTACCCGCCCGGCTGAGAAAAGCGTCCCAGAAAGGCGTCCTTTGTGCCAGCTGGGGACGCACAGGGCCACTAACAGCAGGTTTCCAGCTGCCACTAACAGCTTTGCTCACCGGTAAAGTTTTTCCGAGGGTGTGTGGGCTCCGGTGGGCAGTGCTCCGGGCTGGGCCTGTGCACCTGGGCTGTCTGTACCTGCGGGGACAGGGGGACGTTGCTTGCAGGGCCTCCCACAGCCCACCCAGCCTTGCTCCCCAACAGAGACTGAGATCACTTCACTGCTGTTTTTGTGGGGCTGGGGCTGCCTCTAGGGCCTCTTGTGTGCTCAGCAAGGGCTCATCCCAGCCTGCAGCCTCAGCCGTTAAATCGCCAGGCTGAACTCCAGCACTGCCTTGGCCTCCTGCGTAGCTGGGATTACAGAACTGCACCACCACACCTGGCCTCCTCTGATCATTGCTTTCACTTTTTTGGGCTTATACTGCTAGGATCAATTTTCCCTTTTTTTTCCTTTCTTTTCCAATGCTGGGGAGCAACCCGGGGCCTCGTGCCTTCTCAGCCCCCTCTAACTCATTTCAATTTGGGCCAAGCTGGGAACTGTGCAGCTTCACCCCAGAACGGGTTGGACTCGATGCCAACAGGAGTGCCAGGCTGGGACCGCAGGAGACAGCGCCGCTGGCACACACAGGCCTGCTCCTGGCTCGAGACTGCCCCCACGGCCGGCTCCCTGACTCCTGCAGAGGTGTGCGCCTGTGGGAGCTGCAGCCCTCGCACGGCTGTGGCCCATGCAGGCCACGTGTGAGGCAGCAAAGCGCCCGACGCCCACCAGCGGGTGCATGGAGAAAGCACAGCGGCGCCGACAGGCCGCGGAGTGCTACTCTGACACGGAGGAGGACAGCGGGCCGTGCGGGAAGATGACGCACTGAGACCGGTCTTCAGGGAAGCAAGCACCACGCGCTTAAGTAGTGCCCGGTTTCTCTGCGCAAGAAACCCCAAGTGTGGACGAGAAATGGGAGATGCCGGGAACGGGCAGGGCGCCCCCAGGTGGACGGGGCTGGCCACACCACAGCCCGGGGCCAGAGGGCCAGGCGGACACGT